GGTGATAAAAACTAAAAACAGACAAAGGAGAGCCAACATACACTTAATTGACGCTCTTAGAAAGGAGAATAAAATAAATAGAACAGAAACATATGCTAACATATAACAGAGGAAAATTTGCCCAATATAAAGATCGATTTGAACTTGCAGATTAAGAGTTTTTCCATATTTAGAAAAAAACTGAGACAAAACAATCAGCATCAAGACACACTCTGGTGAAAAAGCAATCTTACAAGTATTCAAGTAGAAAAAGTAAGGTAAGAAGGTGGGGAAAAAGCCCCGCTGGACCGCAGACTTCTATACAGTGATCCTCAATGCCAAAAGGCAGTGAGGCAAAGTCTGCACAGTTCCCAGGGAAAGAGAGTGTGAATCGAGAATTTTAAATCAACAAAGACCACAATCGAACATACTTAAGCATGTTAGAAAAAATTACTGAATGATAAAATTCAGCCGATCAAGAAATAAAGTGAAATGTGCAATTCAGGGTTGGCAAAACCATGGAAAGTAATTAGTGATAAGCATTCAATCCATTTACACCAGAATTAAGGTTAAACAACTGTGGGAATTATGCTTATAAACATATATCTTATAAATCTTGAAAATAACAGTACTATATCTACAGCAGATGGAAGGAGGAAGAGTAGAAAGAAGAATATGTATGCTAATTTCTTCTTCTTTCATAACAAGAAACTATACCATGTAGTTTGAAAAACAACACCTTGGGGTTTTCTGTAATCTTTTTTCTTACTTTTCAAGCTTCAATAAATTCTCTTGTGGTGAACAAACACTTGTCTAAAGTTCAGTGACTACTCTTGTTTCACCTCAGTTTGCTATGTTTTTAAATTCAACAAAGGCAAACATATGGTTATGGTCGCATTTTTATTAATAAAATTATTTATGTCCAGCCAGCCAATCATTCATCTCTACCTTCAAGAGAAGCTTGGAATGATGTTCCCAAATAGTCATGATCTTTTTGCTGGACGGTAAAATTTTGGATTTTTTTAAATTTATTTTGTTTTTACTTCCTCAGCACTATTACTTAAAATGTTCATAATGTGCAGGTGTCAATTTTATAAAAACATTCAAATCATAGTTCTTTTTAAACTGAATAATTAAATTCCTAAGGAGCAACTTCTGTTTATTTGGAGCTTTTAGGAAATGGAAAAAGTCACAGAAGTAGAAGACACAGAAAGAATGCTTGCAATATAAAAAGATACTCACTGTAACGGCAGCCACTCTCCGAGGCTGGGTCACTCCCACCACTCTTCCTTCGGCCGTCCAGCCAGCTTCTGCAAGGTACTACAAACAAAATCACATCTAAGTACACATCTGATACCACTTCTCCAAAAATAATCTCCCCCAAGCTGCCCCTGCACTGTATTAAAATCACTGAGAAAGGAAATAGCATAGTTCTTGTCCCAGCAGAACTCTGAAAACTGTTTTATACATGATGGATCTGTGGCTTGGAAATGTTAGGTAGTTTACTTAAGTTCGCATCAATGCTGATCAACAGAAGAATCAAAGCACAAATTTAGCATTACGATTCCCCAGTCCCACAAAACTCCCATGTATTACAGATGCCTCAAGGAACAAAAAATTATACATGGGCCACTCAGAATAGTGTAGAACAAAGAATCTTAAAGTACATGCAGAGACGGTTCAATGTAAATATCAATTATACAATAAATACATTTTAGTCTAAAGATAGTTAGATTCACTATATATGAATATATGCCATTAGATTATATTGATATATCTCTGAGTAAATGTATTTATTTGATTTATTACTTATTTGATATACATGTATTTATTCAATTATATGTACTTAAAATGTAATATGAATAAAAGTGGTTATCAGAGTTACATATTTTTCTAAATGTCTAAATATTTTACAATGACTATATATTACTTCTGTAATAGAGAAAAGATTTTAAAAGCTACTGCATGTATCTGCTCATTTGTTCAAAAGAAATAAAGGAAAGATAACACAGAAACTAAAGACAATGGCTGTCTACAGGGAATGGGTGGAAACGGGGCGGAAAGAAAGAGAAGTGGAAACAGGGTGACAGGGATGAAGAGGGAGGGGAATATTCCGAACAGAACTCTTCGTGTAGCTCTGACTCTTAGAACCATAGTCATGTTTCACATACTCTTTAAATATCCAAAAGACAAATAAAACCAACCAGAATGTGGAGGGGCACCAAGAGGAAATAAAACATTAACAAATGAGCCTTTCTGTATTACAAATGACTAACATAACCAAACTCACACTAAAGCCAGTGGAGAAGAAAAGAACTAACCCAAGTAATGATGGAACACAGTATCTTCACTGGATGCTTTAAGGCTACAGATAAAAAGAACTGTACATAAATGCTGTAATCTAGTCAGTAAACGTTAGTGAATACCCAAATAGGGGTATGAGTTAGCAATTCTGAAACTATTTTATGTGAATACTAGAATTAAATGAACTTGTAAATATACTGTAGATAATGAGGACTGAGTTTCTCACTGTTGAAGAAAAGTTACAAATAAGGAAAAGCTAAAACGAGCCCTGTGGTATTGGATTCAAATCGGAAGTATCAGTATAAATGTCTGATGTTTAATATACAGAAAGACAGATACAGATTTATAGATGCTTTCATATGTATGGGTTGATATTCATACATATATTTCCTAAGCCTGCTCACTGAGACTCACAGCAATGATATCTTAGTAGCAATGAGCATGCTGGGATCCAGATATCTTAATTCCTAAACATTGCTCTCCAATAAAAGGAGCCAGGGCTTGTTCAGGGAAAAGAGGAGGCTGAAACAGCTTGTGGTACTAGAAAGTACGGAAGTAGTCAAAAAAAAGGATGGAGGCTTTTTTTATAAGAAAACAGAAGTTAAAACAAGGGAGCTCCTAATGGTCAAAGCTGGAATGATTTGAGCAACAACAACAACAAAATGATAATATTGAATTTTAACCCATAGTAAAAAATAAGCATCTATGAATCCATATTGACATGCACAAACAATCTAACAAATAAACAAATAGGGAAGAAAAGACAGTTCTTCCTGACAGAAGAGTCTATTTAATAAAGTGAGTGGGAAAGCAGAAAAAAGAAAATCATCACTGCTGCAGATAAGATGCTAAATTAGTAGGTGAAAGTTTGAAGAAAAACAGATTATTTGCAGTCTGAAAATATTTCTCCCATGATATATATCAACTGAAAGGGAAAGACAGTAGCTTTGCAGGAAAACCTGGCACCTTAACCAAGTGACCAAGGTTAATATCACCAGTGCCAGATATATCAACATCACAAACCCCTTGATAAGATGCACTAAGAAGGACACAATATCATCTCTGTGGTATTGCCAAAAATGCATCAGCTCCTTCTAATCATAAGTAAACATGACATAAACCCAAATTGAGGGACATTCTACAAAATAAACATTCTTTAAAAATGTCAAGATCTTGAAAGATGAGGAAAGACTGAGGAATTCTCACAAACTGGAGGAGACGAGGGATAAATAACTAAATGCAGAGTAGGATCTAGGACTAAAAAAAGAACATTAATAGGAAAACCAATCAGATTCACATAACATCTGTAGTCTAGTATTATACCCTTGTTAATGTTCTGCTTTTGGTTATTCTACTAGAAGAAGTGGGGTGAAGGTATAAGGGAATTCTCTAGTTTTTTTTGTAACTTTTCTGTTAGTCTAAAAATAATTAAAAACGACTGAAAAATTGCAGAAAATATGTTTTTTGCTATAAAAACTATAAAGTGGCTCTTGTATTAAATACACACACAAAATATCACCAACTGCCCCATCAATACAAATACAAAAACAGAACTACAAGGAAAATAGCTAAGATTCACGAGTACCTTACTAAGTGCCAGAAATTGTGCTGAGTACCTTACAGGCATTGCCCCATTTATTTTATTTTTATTTATTTATTCACTCTGTCACCTGGGCTAGAGTACAGTGGCATCATCATAGCTCACTGCAACCTCAAACTCCTGGTTTCAAGGTCCTCCTGCCTCAGCCTTCTCAGTAGCTGGAACTACAGGCACATGCCACCACGCCTGGCTAATTTGTCCTATTTTTTGGTAGAGATGGATTCCAGTCGTGAGCCACCGCACCCAGCCCCATTGCTCCATTTAATCCTCACAACAAATCCTATAAGGAAGGTAACATACATCATCACCAACAATACATACATGAGAAAACAAAGAGGTCACATAACTTGTCCAAGGAAATGGATAAAAATATAAGTGCTAGAATTCAAGCTCAGTAAACCAAAGCCATGACACATAACTGGGACACAATCTATCATCCAAATTCAAACACACATAGTTAATTTCTTAGTAGTAGTATTAAGTGAAAGAAAAATAATTTTCATAAAAATAAACAACCTGTCCCTGAAGCTAGCCACCTCAATACACTGTGAGTCAGACTTCTACTGCAAGCTTATGATTGCTGAGAGGTGGAAATTTAAAGATGCCGAAAAAGCACGTGTAGTGCTCATGTCAAGAGGCAGAGGGAGCCGGGCACAGTGGCTCACGCCTATAATCCTAGCACTCTGGGAGGCTGAGGCAGGAGGATCACTTGAGCGAGTTTGAGGTTGCTATGAGCTAGGCTGACGCCACGGCACTCTAGCCCCGGCAACAGAGCCGAATTGTCAAAAAAAAAAAAAGGCAGAGGGGCGTCATGAAGGCAGATCACCAAACCGTAGGCTGAATTACACCTCTTCAAGGACCGAAAAAAATCTGATCTTTCTAGCTAGAAGACAGAATTAGGAAGAACTCCACCAACAACCAGTAACAGTACTGATAAAAATTATAGTTAAGAAGAGCTTGTTTTCATAGTCCAGTTTTTTGACAGAGTAAAAAATATCATCTAGGTTCCACATATAGTTTGTGGAATTTAAAACTAGTAAGTCTTTGGTGCTTTAGCATGCTGTACTTCTCCAAGGAAAGATGCTCCATAAATCCAGCAAAACAGTTTATTGAGAAAAACCTGCTTCATATACTTGCTGTAACCTTCAGTTCTCAGCCTTTCCAATCTTCCTAGGCCATAACTCAAATTTAGCTTCACAATAAGCTGGAAACAGTGACTGTCTCGGAAAAGGGAAACAGAATGGCCAGGAGAAAAGGGAATAATCCTCCACAGCAGGGGTAGCAAATATTTGGGCCAATAATACAATCTATCACATTGATCTAGTCATTGTCAACAGCAAAGCTTAGGAGATTCACTGTCTACCAATTATTCTTTTGTTCCTTTTAAATTTTATACCATGTATTAATAAATGCATTTCCTATTCAAAAAAAGTGCTTACAATAAAACATAATTCCATAAAATAATTAAATTCAAATGCACATGTGCTTTGAGCCAGTAATTCCATAACTACTATATTTATTCTATAAATATACCTATATGTGTACAAACTAATGTATCTGCAAACTGACCCACTGCATCATCATGATAACACAAAAGTGGAAACAACCTAAATGTCCATCACTGAGGATTGGTAAAATAAACTATATACACATACTGGAACCTATGGAACTGAATAAAGAATGATATTAATATATTACGTGAAAAAAAGACAAGGTGTGGAGGCATCACACTACCTGACTTCAAAATATACAACAAAGGTATAGTAACCAAAATAGCATGGTATTGGCATAAAAATAGACACATAGATCAGTGGAACAGAATAGAGAACCCCGAAATAAATCTATGCATGTACAACCAACTGCACATTGAGGAAAGGACAGTTTCTGCAATAAATGGTGCTGGGAAAACTGCATATCCACATGCAGAAAAATAAAACTAAACCCCTATCTCTCACCCTATACAAAAATCAAATCAAAATGAATTAAAGACATAAATGCAAGGTACCCAAAACTATGAAACTACTACAAGAAAACACAGGGGAAACGCTTCATGACATTGATCTGGGCAAGGATTCTCTGGGTAAGACTTCAAAAGCATAGGCAACAAAAAGCAAAAATAGACAAATGGGATCACATCAAACTAAAAAGCTTCTGCACAGCAGAGAAAACAATCAACAAAGAGACGACGTACAGAATGGGAGAAAATATATGCAAACTATGCATCTGACAAGGGGTTAATATCCAGAATATGTCATATAAGGAACTCAAGCAACTCAATAGCAAAAAATAATCCAATTTAAAAACAGGCAAAAGACTTGAAAATAAACAAACAAACAAACAAAAATTCCTTCATTTGCTGTCATATTACCCAACTTGGAACCTCAGCCCCTACTCTGTTTCCTCCTGGCCATCTTTCCCCAGACTCAGCCCTCGGCAGGCTCTCTCTGTTCCCTGGTAGCTAAGCTTTGCTGGGGTAAATGACCAGACTGTTGTGATATATTTAGCATTGTTCCAAATATGTGCTACCCATCCCTGTAGGAGGATTATATACATTGTTACCCTGTGCTATCTAGCCTGGCCACGTAACTTGCTTTGGCCAATGCTACGTGAGCAGAAGGGCCACTTTGGGTCAGAAGTTTTAAGCGTCATCTCAAGATTCTGCCATGTACCACAAGATCAACAAGTCCCACGTGAAAGCTGCACCGTCAGCCTCAGTCCCGATGATGACATGGAGTAGCCTCCAAGCCAACCCAAGATGACCACATAATATGAGCAAGAAATAAACCTTTGTGTTTTTAAGCCACTGAGATTTTCAGGATTTTTGTTACCAAACACAGTTTATCCTAGGCTAACTAAACAACCACAAACTAATTCCAAAACAAACTAAAATTATGGACTATCACGGGGCCTTTTACCTCTGTTCTACATTCCTAACCTCACTACTCTGCAGTGTCCTCACCTGTAAAATGTAATAACAGTACCTACCTCATAGGGGCTTTGAGGATCTGACAGATGTGACAGATCATAGATCAACACATGTAAAGTGCTCACTTTAGGTAGCACTTGCTACTGTTGTTATTATATTATAATTACTTATTATTATTATAATTACTTGTTACTATGATTATTATATCACTCTCTAAATAATAATCACCCAGTAATTTAACCTGGCCCTTCTCCTGTGTCTCTCTATACGTTCTGTAAGTAACTACTGGGCTCTTGATGCCCTCTGCACATTCAGGTACCTTTTTCCTGCAGGCCACCACTTCCTCTGCTGTCTGCATTTCAAAATAGTCCTCTCTCTGCTAGGTCATTCCCCTCTGCCTACCTTTCCCTAGCTGCACATTAGATCACCTGGGGTAACTTTTTAAAAATGCCTATGTCTGGGTCCCAACCTAAACCCATTATTCAGAATTGGAGTGGGGGAGCAGACAAAGGAATTGAGAACCACACAGAGATGTTGTCATAGCCACAAGTCTGGACCAGGCAGTCAATAATACATCATTAATATGTTCAAAAATGCAAAGGGATTTCATCACCTTCCCCTGGGAATCTCTCACCGTAAAACCCTACCACTGGACTTGCTCTCCAAGACCAACAACCCAGGACTGAATCACGTCTCCTGTTTCCCGGCCACTGCCGCCTACCCACCTCTCCAGAAACCTCATTCCTCTTTTGCTTTCTCTGACCATGGACAGTCTCGTGGTTCTTCTGCCATTTCCCTGGCTGCCATTCTATTTCCTTTCTGCTCCTGACACCTAAATGTTGATACCCCCAGGGCTTCGTCTTTGGTTCTCTTCTCATATCTTTCTCTTCCCTCTCACTCCTGCATGTATCAAGACGTTGTACCATCAACATGTGGACAACCCCACATCCATACCCTTTACGTGTGATCTCTGCCAAGTTTCAAACTTCCAATACAATTTTCCTATTAATAATGATGTCATTAAAGACCATCAATGATATAGGAAAAAATCAAACACATTAATGTCCAAAAAAAAAAATCTTTACTTTTCTATCGTATTTAGCACTACCACTATTCTCCAAGGCAACGTCCCTTTACCTTTGTCATCATAAATATCCACCAAGTTTCTAATTTCTGTAGACCCAAACTCTAAAATTGCTCTTATTCCTATCCTCCCCAGATTATCCCACTATCACCTGTTAATCAAGGACCCAATTACACCACTCTTCCCTAGACTACTGCAATAGTCTCCTATGGCCTGTCTCCTCCAGTTGCTAAGTCATCTTGTATTTGAATTTAAAAACTTCCCTAAAACTCAGCTCATGATGTTGTTTACATGCTCAGAAACCCTACAAGGATACAACCACTCTGATAATCTTAGACATTATTTACTAAAGTTGAACGTAGGATCCAGCAATGCTACTCTTAGGTATAGCTCAGCAGGAATGTGCACGTGTTCACCAAAGACAAGCAACAAGAACGTTCATAGCAACACTATTCATAACTAAAAACTGGAAAGAACTCAAATGTCAATCAACACTAGGAAGGATAAATAAACCACAGAATACCAATACAGTGGAATACTATATAACAGGAGTTGGCAAACACTTTTGTTTAAGAGCCAGATAGTAAATTTTTAAGCTTTGAAGGCCTTAGGGTCTCTGTTGTAACTGCCCAAGTCTGCGTTACAGCATGAGAGCAGCCGTGGGCAATATGTCAATAAGCAAGTGTGGCTGTGTACCAGCAAAGTTTTCTTTACAGAAACAGGCAGCGAGCTGGATTTGGGCCAAGAGCTGTAACCTGCTGCCCCCTGCTACACAGCAATGAGAATGAACAAACCGCAGCTATACTCAACAACAGAGAAGACTTTCACACATGATGTTGAACAAAAGAAGCTCTATTATTCCTTTATAAAGTTCAAAAATAGGCAAAACTAACCTATGGTGTCAGAAGCCAAAATAAGAGTTGCCCTTGTGCTTATGGCTGTGGGTATGGAGAGAGAGGGCAGTTAGAGACCAGAAGGAGACACGAGAGGGCTATTGGGATTCTGGTCTTGTTCTGTTTCTTAAACTGTGTGCTGGTAACACAGTTGTATTCACTGCTGAAAACGTATCAAGACGTACAATTATAACATAGGCACTTTCCTGCATGTATTTTACACTTTAATAAAAATTAACATTAAACCGGAAAGAAAAATCTCCAAAGTGTCTCAACCCTGGTCACTTAACTACCAATCTTCACTCTTCAAGTCAAGGTTCTTAAGACACACTCTGAACTCACCCTACACTTCTCCACCCCAGTATCTCTAACCACAATATTCACTGGATTGAAACGCCTTCCCAGTCAGCTCCCACTAATCAATCATTCAAGGTCAATTTCAAATGCCATTAACTTTCCAAGGTCTCTCGTGACTCTTCTTTCCACTCCTATCCACATACGATTTTTCCTGGTAAAAGAGGGTTCTTGCACAGCATTGCATAATTCTACAAAAGCCAATTTTTATTTACAACTATTAATGGTTCATTTTGCCCCACCTCTTCAATTGTCATTATATGAACAAAAACTACAAATTACACATCTTTGAATGAGTCCCCACTGTTCCTTGCAGAGGATGGCTACTTTGGAATTATAATAAGCCAAGGACAAACTGTTACTTTAGTACTAATCAAAGAACTATAAGGCTAAAAAGTTTAATAAAAAATAGTTGAGGTGAATATTTCCAGAGAGGAGACCTTAAAAATGCAAATGCTAATAAAGACAATTCTCAAGTTACAAATTCTGTCCAACCAAGTCTAAGTGTAAAGACACAGATTAAATATGTACTCACTTGAGGAATCTGAGTGCTTTTCCCACATCCCGTTTCTCCAACAATCACCACTGTCTGATAGTTTTCTATCAAGTATAAAATATGATTCCTAAGCTGAAAAAGAATAACCATACACTGTAAATAGCCATATATTGTCTCAAAAGACCTAAACAAAGATATATAAACAATGCAAAATGAGCTATTTCCAAAATAAAGTAAATTTTAAAAAGAACATCAAAATGTATTTCTAACTCACAGGTACTGCTAGTGTCAGTGTGAGCTGATACAACTGCCATTGAGTGTGATACTTATCAAAATATATAATGCACATGCCCTTTGATTCAAGATTTTCACTTATAAAAAGTTATATTACAGATATAGTAATATTAATACATGTGCGCAAAGATGTATGTACAAGCGTACTCATTGTAGAATTGTACATAATAGCCAAAAATTCAAACAGCCTAAATGTTCATCAACAGGAGTTTGGTTAAATCAGTTAGGAAACACTCCAATAACGGAATAATTTGTAGCTGTTAAAAAGAATAAATGTCTATTTGTCCTAAGATGGAAGGATCTACAAGATGTGTTAAGGGTGCTCAGTTCGGCAGTACCTATACTCAAATCAGAATGATAAGGAGAAGATTATAGCATGGCCCCTGCACAAGGATGACATACAAATTTGTGAACCATTTCTTATCTTTTAAATAAATAAATAACAAAACAAACAAAAAAACCCTACATTAAATAAAGAAAGCAAAGTATAGAACTGTGAATAAAACACTAGTGATATGGTTTGAATGTTTGGCCCCTCCAAATCTCATGTTGAAATTTGATCCCCAGTGTTGAATGGGGGGAGCCTGGTGGGAGGTGTCTGGGTCATGGGGGTGGATCATTCACGAATGGCTTGGTGCCATTCTCGTTTTTTTATTATAGTTCTCGCTGTATTAGTAAGTTATCATTTCATTAGTTCTCACTTTATTAGTTCACACTAGAGCTGGTTGTTTAGGAGAGTCTGGCACCACCTCCTCTCTCTTTGCTCCTTCTCCTGCCATGTGACATGCCTGCTACCCTTCACCTTCCACCTTGATCGGAAGCTCCCTGAAGCCCTTACCAGAAGCAGATGCTGACAGAAAGCTTCTTGTACAGCCTGCAGAACTGTGAGCCAAATAAACCACTTTTCCTTATAAATTACCCAGCTTCAGGTATGTCCTTTATAGCAGTGAAAGCAAACTAAAACAACTAGTATTTATATTTTTAAAGAAAGGGTAAACACATATATGCTTGCTTATATGTAGACTATCTTTGGGGAAACAAACAAACAAACAAACAAAAAACAAGAAACTGGTAACAGTGCTGCCTCCAGACAGGGGATGAGGTGGGTGGTGTCTGGGGAACAGGGGTGCAAAGGAGACATTTGAATTTTGTGCGACATGCATATATTACCTAATTTAAAATGTCTTCCTTTATTAACTTGTAAAAAGTCCCAGAAAAAAAGAACATGCTTTCACCTTTACCTCTAAATCCAAGTTCAATAACAAAGCACCCACAGGTTACATACATATTCCAAATGGGCCTTCCTTTACCTGTTCAGTGTGAGCAGAAACACAGGTGACCACTGAAAAGTCACAGATAATTCTGTCTTAGCTTCAGAATACATTTTTGTACACATATTTGATTATAGGCACACCTGAGGGTCCAAAAGTAATGAAGGTTTTCCATAAACATCTGGTTTAGAAAGAAGTAAAAAACTGCCTAATCCTCCCACTCTGATCACTGCTGAACTCATCTGGTGTCACACCAGCAGTGTGTCTGGTGAGGATCGGAAACACTAGGATATTGCCGGTTTCTAACTAGCAAATAAGGTATTGACTTTTTGAATTTGGCATTATCTAGGGTCTAGCTATGCACTTCTCAAGTCTTAGTGTGAAAATCTCCTGGGATATTTGTTAAAAATGAAGATTCCTAGCCCTACCCTTGGTTTCTGACTCAGCAGGTGAGGCCCAGGAATCTGTACTTCCACACAGCCAAAGAAGGTTCTGCTGCAGATGGTCTAATGACGGTCCATCTAGATGCTTTCTTCTTGGTTGCTTGGAATTTGTGTTTTCTTTGTTTGGTGGGGGGGAGGGAGAAAAGTTTAAGTTCACATGTATTTTTTTTTGAGACAGAGTCTCACTCTGTTGCCCAGGCTAGAGTGCCGTGGCGTCATCCTAGCTCACAGCAACCTCAAACTCCTGGGCTCAAGCAATCCTTCTGCCTCAGCCTCCCTAGTAGCTGGGACTACAGGCATGTGCCACCATGCCCGGCTAATTTTTTCTATATATTTTTAGTTGTCCAATTAATTTCTTTCTATTATTTAGTAGAGACGGGGTCTCGCTCTTGCTCAGGCTGGTTTCGAACTCCTGAGCTCAAACAATCCGCCCGCCTTGGCCTCCCAGAGAGCTAGGATTACAGGCGTGAGCCACCGCGCCCGGCCTCACATGTGTTTTTAAATGGTATGATGGATGAATGGGTCGATAATCAAGGAAAATTTAAAAGACAATTTGAGTATAGATAAATAGAGAAACAGACTAGGCATTCCAGGAAATGGAACTAACACAAGCAGAAAAAAGAAGATGTAAATAAGTAAACTATGTATAGTCCTGTGAAGGGAGGCTATAAAAAGACCATGAAAAGTTCAGGTTTGATTTAAAAATGAGTTACGAGAGGTGAAGTTAAGTCTTCACTGTGAAAGGCCTCGAATGCAAAGCTACAGAGACTGGACTTTACTTTCGAGGCAGTGTAGGCAGTAAAAGTTTTGAGAAAACTACTCAGCAGCAGCACACAAGACTAATTTGAGCATGAAGAAACTGAAGGTATTAATTCTAGCTTCATGTGCTAAAAGCCTACAAGGTCCAAGCATTGCAAATGGAGTCAAATGTATGACATTTGAGAGAGTTGACAAGATTTCCAGTTTAGAGACAGGGAGAATGACACTGCTACCCACAGGCATAGTGAAATCAAGAGTTGGTGAGGAAGGCGGGAATGAGCTTCAGAGAGGTGGAGCTGGCGGGAATGAGAGGCCAACTTTGCACAGCAGTGTCCGTGGCCCAAAGAGAGCACCAGGCTACAGAAGTTGGCCAAGGGAAGGTTGCCTCATAATGGTGCTGGGGAAAAGGGGTGATCTTTAAAGATTTGTTGCTGCTTTAGGTCCAACTTCTGTTTTTAAAGCTACTTTTACTTTTAGTTTGAATGGGGGAGGGGGTGGTAAAGTGGTAACTTTATCCTTTTCATCGTCTACATTTATCTTTAACATCCTTCAAGACCTCAGCCATGCTTAAACTGTGTTTTGCTTTGTATCAATAACTTATACTCTTCTTACAATGTCATCAATGTTTCTCAACTTCCCGTTTTCCTTTCTTTTTTTTTTCATTAGCCATTTCCTTTATTCTATCTTATAAGCACAGCTGGAGGACAAAGAATAGTCAAAAAGGCCAAAATTTAAATATTCAGGTGAACAATAATTTCTCTTGTACCTGAGCATCTACTACATGTCAGGTACTTACTAAATGCTCTGCACGAATTACCTCATCCAGTCCTTATAACAATCCTGTGAGGTAGGCGCTATTAGTCCCATATGACAGATAAAGGACCGGAAGCTCAGAATGGTGAGGCAAGGTCACATGGCATGCAAATGGTGACACTTGGGTTTCAACTTTGAAGTCTAGCTGAGTCCACACACTTCATCACGGCTGAAACTGTCCCTCAGTGGTAAGGAAGCAATAGTGAATCTCTCACCTCATCTCCTAAGCGTCAAACTCGTTAACATAATGAATGAGGTTAGTCACTGGAGGAAGAAATCCAGAGACTGTCAAGTGACTACAAGGTCTGGAGCCACATAAAACTCCAATCAAGGCCATTTGGCTGTTTCATATCCACTTGGAGAAAAAACATATTAATAGAGGAGGAATTATCAGCACAGTCTAGACACAGGAACTCCCTGAGTGTAAGAACTTGGCACCTTTCACCCAGCACTGTCCAGGAGAAAGAGAGAAAGAGATGCAGGTACTGGTGACCACACCTACTCGGGTCATTCCAGACACATCTTGTGCAGCAGGAAGTTATTCATCACCCCTCACAGGGGGCTGTATGAAATGAATATCCTTCAAATTTATCCAGTCTGCTTTTCGCTCTGTCCTTCCTGATTACAATTTGGCTTCCCATGTGGACTTGCCAATGGGGAGAAAGTGTGTCCATCAACTGTGTCCATCTGTACAGGAGAACTATGGTTCACCATAATCAAACATATTCTGAATGAATTCTAGTTTATACTTTGGTCTCTTGTAGCTAAGCATACATCCATTTCATGAGCATTAATAAAATTCAGTATCTGGATGTGTGCACTTGCTATGCAGTAACCACACCAAAATCCTGTCACTGTCTCAGCGACAGTGACAGTACTAACTGACCTCTTCAACTGAAACAACTTCATATTCCCAATTAATCTTGTTTAAAGGAATGTCTTTAAAAAGAAAGCAAAACTTAGTCATATGCTGGTAATTTGTTGAAGCTGGAAACATAAACTTTCACTGTGCTATTTTCTCTACTTTTCTGCATGTTTGAAATTGTCCATAACTGAAAGCAATGAAGGGAAAAAAGAATGTCATTCCTATTCTTCCAATTTTCCAATATGTAAGATCTAACTGAAAAATCTAACGACTTCCAAGATTTTAAAAGGTTAACACACATATTTTCAAAAGAAATCCCTTAGGATTAAGGGTTTTTCTGAGATCACTGTGCTGTAAAAAAAAATCATTAAGAGCAATATGACATTATCCACTCCCCCTGCCCCCCAGAGACAAGCACAAAGCTATTGCAGACACACAATTCACGCCCCAGACTGAACACGCTTATTCTACATACCTTGAACACCGGAAGCTTCTGCCTCTGCTGCTCTATTGAAAGGGCAGCATAAGGGTTGTAAACAATGGTGGTCCCAGAGTTTTCAGCGATACTTTGTCTCTCTTCAGAGATGCTGACACCTGGCCCCTCTGTACCTGCAGCAGAAATGTTTTTTCAGATTCTCTGATGCAGTGAACAGAAAGAGGTGTAAAGGTTATAAATTTTAAAAGAAAAAGACACAGAAAAGAAGCAATGCTTTTTTTTTTTTATCTCAAACTACTAAAAGATATTCAACTTTAACTTTAGGAAAGCATCTAGAAAAGTACCTATCAGAACACAAAAATCTTCCCTAAAAGCTTCACTGCAGTGTCAAGAACAAAGGAGATGGCAGTCCCACTGGGCTCCAAATTGGTCATTCAGAACTGTACATAACAGAGTACAGTGTCTGTAGTTCTGGCTTCTATGCCCATGTTATTACTGAATTCTTAACAGAAGTGAAAGAAACCCAGTGGGAACTAGGTGAGGCAAAGGATGAATCCTGTTACTGCAGGACAGCAACAAGGCTCAGAGATGACAGCACCTGGGGACTCAAAGCAGCCATGGCTTTCTCCTTCTTGCATCTTAACACCTCTTGCAGGTTCCTTTCACTCCCTCAGGTTGGCTTCTCTATAGGAGCTGGAAACAAGGCTGCTGGCAGAGCCAGAGCTCAAGCTCACACCTCCTCTACCAATCATTCATTCACTCACCCAGCAAGGATGGACCAAAGACCCACTCTGTGCCAGGCGCTGCTCTAAGTGCTAGAAATAAAGCAGTGAGCAATACAGATACCAGCCCAAACCTCTCAGTAGAATGTAAGTTAGTGCATGAAGTGGTCATAAATGTTATGGAGAGACATAAAGACACTGCAAGGGGGACTGGGAGTCTCAGGTGTGTGTTGTGTATGAGGGTAGAGGAGGCTCTTTTATACTGGACAGTCAGGGACTGGCTTCTTCTCCAGCTTAGGTCCAATGTCCACTCTGATCCAGTAAACCATGGTGAGCGGAGTGGGATGCAGTGAATGGCAGCCCCACTGGAACCACAGAGTCGGAGTGGTTAGATGGGAAATGCTGTTCCCAGAAACCACTGTGCTAAGCAGACTAAATACAGATACCCACCACAGCTTCTTGCTAACAACAATAACAAACTGGTGCTCAGGATGGTGAAGAACAGGGAAGCCTTATCTCATCATGAAAACCTGTTGAAGGTACCATAGACTTTTAACCTGAAAAGCAAAAAGTCTCAGGAGAAACGTGGGTTCAAATTTTAGGATCAGCTTCCATAACGTTTCATGCAGATTTGTTTGTATGACCCTAGGACAGAATTAGGAGTAATCAGTAAATGACACAAGGTTCAGAATCAACTCAACATAAGGAAGATATTTCTAAAAGGTAGAGCTGTTCAACAATGGAGTATGCTGCCTTGTCAATCAATAAAAATCCTCCCTAGACGTTCAATAATGTGCTGTACAGCCTCCTAGTGGGGGCACTACAGGGGTAATTACCAAAAACTACCATCTCCCAAGTCTTCTGAACTCAGAATCTGTGAAAGCACAGGGGCTTTGTGTCAAGAATATTCGGCTCTGTGATTTATTCTTACATTTTTTCAGGGGTCCCAGATCCCTTCAAATATCTGATAAAGGCTATGAACTCTCTCTCCTCAAAAATGCACCGGAATATAATATAACAGAATATAAAATGCTGGAGGTCCACGCACCCCCTAGAGCTAAGTTAAGAATCACTGCTTTAGATCTCTGACCCTTTTCCATTTACTTCCAGGAACATAGTTGTGTTCCAGAGGTTCAAGATTGCCAAAAATCAGTAAGTGGGGCACTGCTGTGTTGCTTTTGCCAAAATGTTGACCTTCCTTTCAACAAGATAAAAGATAGAACAGGACCTGGAACAAAGCCTGTACTCGAAGAAGCAGGTTTCCTTTCCTTTCTCATTATCACTACATCTTTTTTTTGTTGTTTTTTTTGAGACAGAGTCTCACTCCATCGCCCTGGGTAGAGTGCAACCTCAAACTGCTGGGCTCAAGAAATCTTCCTGCCTCAGCCTCCCAAGTAGCTGGGACTACAGGTGGATGCCACCACACCCGGCTCATTTTTTCTATTTTGGTAGAGACGGGGTCTCGCTCTTGCTCAGGCTGGTCTCAAACTCCTGAGCTCAAGTGATCCTCCCACCTCGGCCTCCCAGAGTGCTAGGATCATAGGCGTGAGCCACCACGCCCAGCCTCTCACTACATCTTAATAACTTCTTGTAATCTTTACCCAAGAAAACTACTGCAAATACTTTATCCTCTTCTGCTGTGTTTTTGCCCTGAATTCCCTCATTTCCAGACCACATTGTAAGCCTTCACATTCTCTCTGGAACATTTTAACACTGCTCCTACAAGGTCTCTTATTTCCTCCCACATCAGGGTTAAAATTCAACCATGGTGGGGGGTCTTCTTCACTACCCCCTCCCTCCCATATCTCTAACCTACAGCCCAGTCTATCTCAGTATATTCCATTATGACCTCTTTTACAAGAAGAGCTACTGTCAGTGAATAAAGAGCATAGCTTCTCCTTACAAAAGACTTCATTCAACCAAACCAGAGCATCAGGGCTGGTTTCCCTCTACAAATATCCCACAGCCCACTCTGGCTGCTTATGCTTGTTTTTCCTTGAGAGTATGCTCTGTGTTTACAGGAGTAACAACTTTATAATTTTTAATAAGTAGTAGTCAAGATAGGGACCACAGTCTGACTCTAGAGCCCATATTCTTTACCACCTTATTCTGCCTCATTTATTCAATTGAGAGAGAAAGAGCACCCTGAGAGCAGAACCCTGGTCATCTATAGTTATCTCATGATCACAACATTAGGTGTTCAACAAGTGTATCTTCAGTGAATGAACTAAACAACAGAATAGAACTCTTCGAGTAATTCCACACTCTTCAGCCAGAATAGTACTCTAGGTCTGATTTTCAACAATTCATTCAGGCCTTTAGTATACTTAACATTTTCACCTGTTACTAAAGGCTTGAATAAATAAAAGATATCTCATTACTTGATGAAATCTTAGTTTGGGCTGCAAATAAAACTCAGGATGGATAATAGGCCAATGACTTGAAATGCTGAATCATAAAACTGTTACTAAGTGACAAACTACAGATTTTTTTAAAAAATTAATTAAGCACATGTCTTCTTTGGGTTTATCTCTCATATCACATATTCATGGTGGGAATTTCAGGCAACCACTCTAAAACACCCTGTAAAAGCTTTCCTTATATTACCTCCTCTGTGTCATGTCATTTTTGCTGCAATATACTTTGCACATCCAGACCTGCAGAGGTGCAGGTGGTGGAGAAAAAAACAAGCTCGTAACTATTAAGAAATTTGGTTTTCTAACAAGAAACTGATGGACGGGGAGGAAGTAATGCATCTAGTGTGGTCTGGCATGCACACATTCAATAAAAATAGCAAAACAAGCAAAGCACTTTGTGATTGTGATTCACGTTAGTCTGCAAGAGAGGAAGTGGGTGCCAGGTAATATGAAGGAGAATGTTCACTTTCTGGTAGACATTCGGGGTGGACAAGAATTACTCCAAAAGAAAATACTCTGTCTTTTTTCATGAGCACTTACTCTAAGTCAGACAACGCGTTGTGCCCACAGGATAGATGTTGTTATTCTGCCCATCTTGGGTGAGGACACTTGCCCAAGGTCACCCTACTACTATAATACAGAGACGAAAATTCGAACCCGGGTTGTCTGACTCCACAGCTTGAGCTCCCAAGCCCTGAGCAGCATCACCTGTCGGGCCCCAGTGCAGCCCCAGGGAGGTAACAAGGCGCGGGGGCGTTAGGATTCCCCATCTCGCAAAGTGGGCAGTGCAAGTATCAGTACCGAGATAAACGAGACCCGAGGAGGCTGTGAGATTTTAACAAGGTCACACAGCTTCCGCCCAGGATAGGGGAGGATCCCCGAATCCCCCAGGACCACTGTGGGGGCCTGAGACGCACAGTCCACCTGCACAGAGACGGCAGGGCCTAGCGCGCCGACGTCAGGACTGACAGCAAGCCCGCAGGCCCCAGGGCGCCGGCTGCTGCGCCAAAATCCAAGTCAGGCCGCCGCATCTGCCCAGCGTTCCGCCAAAGGCCTTACCCGGTCGCCAGAACTTCACCGGTCCCACGGGCGCAGCCATGCTGCGGTGAAAGGTCACGAGGAAGGCTCCACCCCGCAGTCGCGCGCGAGCACGCGAGGGGCCAGGGGGCGTGGCCCGAGAGGAGCCTCTGCCCAGGCAGATTCGACTGTGTGACGGCCGCGCACCCATGGTCTCCGCCTTCTGAGCCACGTGACCTACGGCTCGTTCCTGGAGAGCCCTCCGGCCACGCCCCGGACCCATGTGACCCCGCTCCGCCATATTGGCGAGAAGGGCGCGAATTTTTGCTTCTCTTTGGCGTTGTGGGTCAGTGTTTCAGGTGGCCTTCTAGGAGCATGTTGTCGCCCTAGTGGCGGCTGCACGCTTGCGGAAGGGCGGGCTTTGGGAGAGCACCGTTGGCGTGAGAGTCTTGCAGCTGCCAGCGCGGCAAAGTGCACGCAGTGGGCGCCGAGGCAATGCTATTTGGGTTAATTACAAAATACAGTTACAGGCTATCCTAACTTTGCTACTTGTCTTTTAGTCTCCTCATTTCCAGATTGACGGGTAATAATAGTAACTACCTTGTTATTTTGATGATTCAGTAATTATTGAGAGACCGGTTTCAGCCCCTTCAGGTAGCTTTCGTCCACGGTGGGAGTGGCGGTGTATAGTAAATGAACAAATGCTCGGTAGAGAGTAGTGTTTATTACCAGCCAATAAAACAATGTGAAATGGTATGGGAGCCTTCAGGGACCTTGAGCCTAATGCCGGAAAACGGGGGCAAGGGTGGGGGACCTGGGTTGGAAGAAGAGACTAGAAATGGGTAGGTCAGTTAGGGCAGGGCACTAACTCAGCGTTTCCGACAGTCAGATGTTCATGAATCAAATTCTTGTTAAAAACACGAGATTCTAGGCTCGGATCCAATCTCGAATCAATCTCCAGGGACATGGCCTGGGAACCTGCGTTTTAAGAAACTTCCAGATTTCTTATATCAACAGTTTGGGAAGATTCCACTAATTCAAAGGAGAGTTAATGAGGGCTAATGAGCTCAAGGGGAGGAAGTACTTTATAGGCAGGCAACTAATGGGAAGAAAGTGAAAGGCTTCAGAATCTTTGCATTTTTACAGTTGTGAAGAAAATTCTGAATTCTTTGAGAGACATGGCAGCTATGACAAGTGATGACTAAACTCTGATCTTTTTTCTTTTGCCCAAATTCAATTTTAAGGGGGCCTGGTGAGTCACAACTACAAATGGTAAAATCTCAGTAAAACTGATTCCAGTATAGCATCACCTGAAAGATAGAGGACCCTTATTTTAACTCGAGCATTGCTTTCTGATGATCCCTGGTCTTTTGGACAAAACCTCTAACAGCCAATTTTCAACTAAGGAATCCCTAAATCCGCCTATGACTTGTAAGCCCCTGCTTTGAGATGTCCTGCCTTTTTGAGCCAAACCAATGTAAGCCTTCCATGTATTGATTTATGATTTTACCTGTAATCCCTGTCTCCCTGAAATGTATAAAAACCAAACTCTAACCCAGCCACAGCGAATCCACTTGCTCAAGGCTTCTTTGGCATGGCTGGGGGCCGTGGTCCTCAAATTTGGCTCGGAATAAACCTCTTTAAATTATTTTAGAGTTTGGCTTCTTTTCCGTTGACACAGGAGTAAGGGCTCTGGAGACAAGCAGTCCTGACTCAGAGTGCTGACTTTGCCATTTCCTAGCTCCTAGCTATTGTTTAATCTTAGTTGTAAAATGAGGTTTTAAAAAGGAATTAAATGAGATGACATGTAAAGTACCTAACAGGATGCCAAGACGTAGCAGGCAATCAATGTCAGGTCTCAGTACCTCAACTCAAACAGAGCAAATCCACCAGGGGGAAAAATCTGAATTTACCTACATGGATTCATTTAACAAATAACCTCCTTTGATTTATTTCCATAATAATGAAAAGAGGGTTCAATACATGTTAATCCTTCTGCCTAGAGTTCTCCATCCATCCTTTAAAATGTCTTCATCCTTTAAAGGCCAGCTTTGAATTTGCTTTCCAACTTAATCCATTCCTCCTACAGACTCAGAACCTGTATGCTCACTTTTAGGATAACACTTATTTAGTTGAACTATAGTTAATCTGCCTCACTATTATTATACTGGGAACTTCTTGGGGACAAAGACCATGTCACATTCATGTTTATAGCCCAGTAACAAAGTGCCTATTGCGTAACGTGTATGTAAACACCATGCTTTATACTTAGTTTTAGTTCCTCATTACATTGATCCTTCCTTGTTTTATTTTTCTTATTTTCACTAAAGGCCCAAATACAGAAAACAAGGTTTACACATGAATGTAAGCAAAAATGAAACAAATACCATTTAAAAAATTGTTTCTATATTTTATGTATTACGATTTAAGAAATCTTCCTGTTTACAAAGAGACAGTAGATTGGCCATTCCCAGATTATTGGATCATAATCTTAAAGCTAGAGGAGACCTTCATCAACATCTAACCTAAATTCCTTGTCTTATAGAAGAGAAAATTAAGGTCCATAGAGGTTAGAAGGACATGGTCAGACTCAATGGACTAATTATTAATAGTATCAGAACTGAAACTAGAACTCGGGCTTTCTAAGTCCCAGGCCAGTGATTTTTCAACCACATGGGCCATTTAAACCCATTAGAGCTTAGCTCTCCTAGAAGAGAATTAGTTCATCTGCCTCAGAAAGTTCTCAAAGTCCAACTGTCCCCAATGGCTTTTATTGCTTAGACAGACTTCTACTATTAAATACCTTAAATAATAAGTGTTGATGGTGTGGTTTTATTGTCACAAACTAGAAATGGTCTCAGTAGACTATCAGTTTTCCTAATTAACTATTTTCAGAAAGAATGGCCTAACATAACTCCCCTCAAATTAAAACTTATTCTTTGAGATGGCATCCAGAATTTATTTAGTTCATTGTCAACAATTTTATAAAAGTTTAATCATTTTGTTACAAAGAGGTGAATTTTGCAACTTCCAAATGATCATAGGTTTTCCAGAAAGATAATGTTCTTCAAAATCATGTTACACAGGTACGACATAGACGTTTTTCTGTGCCTATAGTAACCAGTACTTCTGCTTTGAAATATTTCCAGACCAAGCATATTGACTATTTTTAGGAGACATAGGATTTAGGGGTTTTCCTTTTTGTACCACTTGAGGCTTTTGTGGATACAAGTGATAGAAAACTCAACTCAACCTCACCTAAGAAAAATGGCTCACTTAAATTAAAAAATCCAAGAGTAGTTCTGACTTAAGACACAGCTCCATCAGGATACATAACGACATAATCAGAAAGAACTCTTTCTGATCATGTCCTGCCTTCTACTGGCTCAGGTGTAACATGGTAAAAAGATGGCCACGTTAGCTCCAGCCACCACATCCAAGCATCAGACCTTTCAAAAATTCTCTGGCAAAATGGCCATGTATCCATCCCTAAATCAATCACAAAGGCCAGGGAATATGATGTACTAATTGGCTTAGGCCTAGGTCGCACATTCCATCCGCAGGGTCAGGTGTGGTCAGCTTCACCAGAACCACATGGACTGAGAATTGGGAACAGAATAGTTCCCCAGAGGGAAATCTGAGGGTGAGATTATCAGAGGATGAATGATGGAGTGAATGAATGAAGCAAAAATAACAGATGTCCACTACAACCATCCATGTATCCATGTGCTAGAACTGTTAGCCTCCTAAGAAAAATCCTGACTCCACTTGGGTTGCCTCCATCAAGCCAGATCAGAGAGAGCTGCTATCCTCCAAACTGAAAAGAGGTGGTCCTTTGCAGAATGGCTTTACTGAATTGTACTACACTGGGGTTTTCCACTGAGTCTAAGGTACAGCCCTCCACAACTTGTTGTAACATATGTATACCTGTCTGGTTTGTTGGCTTGTGCAGAGATCATCACGTTCACACACGTATTCGCACAAACAAAAGTGCTTAGCTTCAAAGACTTGGGTACAGAGTTGTGGAGAGAATCACTGAGAAAGGCACCCAGCAATCAGTGGCGCCTCCGTCTCATTGGCCTAAGGGACATGCAGTTCTAGGACGTCAGTCAAATTGGGGAAGGCCTCCTCAGTCTGCAAAGTGCTTTCCACGTAGGATGACCATATGCTTTATTGTTCAAACTGGGACACTTCTGAGAATAAAAGGTGTTAACCAGATGGGACCTGGGGATAAGAGACATAAACTGGAACTTTGCCAGGCAAAGTGGCGCATACATCTAGGTGTGTGGCACCAGTAAAGCCTAACCTAACAATACTTAACTGACTGTGTTGAACACAAGGTACGTATTCCATGCTCACAGAATGTTTGAATACACTCAACTCATTCATAGCTTCAGACAACTGCCCGTGTGCAGTTCAGGGCCTGGGCAAGCCCCACGATATCTGTCATTGTTTATCATCAGGATGTGCTTATCAGAATGCTCCACCGTACCACTTTTATGAAGATCCTTGTAAGAAATTCTTATCTTAGTACCAGGAATCACTATTCTTTCTGTAGTTGAATTAACTTTCATCTTAAGGATATTGTGAATGGTGCATTTCACCAGGTTTCTTTCTGTCTTGGTTACTGGAAAGCTTAGTTAAATATGTGGCCTACGCAAAGTATTTGTGTATGTCACGGCATGCACTTTTAGCCTCATTCCTGACTCCATTTTGTAGCCCTCACCCTTGGGTTTCTTTCATGTAACTTTTAATTGACAAAATCTTGTACCTTAGGTTTTCTTGTTAATCACTTTAGGTTCTCTAGGTAAAAGGTAGACACTCCTCATCCCAACTGCTTACAGAGGTGGGGTGGCCATCTCTTCAGTGGATTCCTTAAGTTTTACAAAAGAATGTCAACCCTACAGTCTGATTGGGGTGACCTTAAAAGTGCATGGATTGATCTCTAATTCAGGCAAACTATCAGGGAGAGAAAAAAAGAGAGACAACTGAATTTGAACAATGAATATTTATTTGATATTAAGAAATTTTTATCAAAGTTATTTAGGTGTGATAGTGATGTTGGGATTGTTTTTTAAAAGT